ATTTCCAGTTTCATCCGTTTTCCTGCAAATGACTTTTACTTTATGGCAGAATAATACTCCATGGTGTATGTACACTACATTTTCAGTATCCATTTATCATTGATGGGCACTTAGATAGCATGAAGTGGCTTTTTTAAATAAATTTTTTGCTAGGATATATTCATTATACAGCAGGGATTTATAGTGACATTTCTGATTAGACTTATATTGTACATTATTTATACTGCCCCCATCATCTCTCCCCCCTCAGCCCTCTGCCCACCCCACTTAAAGCAATTGCAAGAGGTTTCTTAGTTCTGTTTCATATATGTATATGAAGTCCATCCACCATATACTGTCATCTTAATCTCCTTCCTTCACCTTCCCCCTCCCACTAGTACCCCCCGTATGCACACTGTACCTATTTTACACTCCCTAGTTTTTGTTATTAATATTTAAGTTAATGTTCAAAGGGATGTCTCAATGTATGCCCACTATGGGTGTGTTTTATTTGGTCCGTTCTACTCCTTCCATTACTCTCTCTTACGCCTTTACCTCCCATCCCCCATTTTTCAACAGCTTTCATTACACATCCTTATATCCTCTACCTTCAGATCTTATATTATGCAACATTGTTACTGATACTCTATCATTCTCTTTTCCTTTCCCTCTTTCCCCAAGTTCCATAGAGTAGTTCTCCTGTTACAAACATGTTCTACATATGAGTTTGTATATGATCATGTTTGGTTTTGTGTGTATGTTTATCTTCAGATCTACCTTCCATGCATGAGAGAAAACATGCAGCTTTTGTGTTTCTGATCCTGGCTTAATGAAATAGCTATTGTGAATAGTGCTCCATAAATGTGGATATGCGGCCTTTGGTTCCTTTAGGTACGTACCCAGGAGTGGTATAGCAGGATCACATAGTAGCTCTATTTTTAGTTTTTTAAGGAACCTCCATCATACTGATTTCCATAGTGGCTGCACTAATTTATAGCCCTACAAACAGTGTATGTATGAGGGGTCTTTTTCCTCCACAGCCTCCCCAGTATTTACTGCTGTTTCTTTCCTTAATGATAGTCATTCTGACTGGGTAGAAATGGAATCTCCATGTATATTTGGTTTGCATCTCTCTAATGGATAAGGATGTTAAACATTTTTTCATATTTTTATTTTATTGGCAATTTGTATTTCTCCATTTGAAAAGTGTTTGTTCAGTTCATTTATCCATTTATTACTTGGATTATTTGCTCTTATAAGTTTTTTGAGTTCTTTATATATCCTGGATATTAATCCCTTTTCTCTGAGTAGCTGACAAATATTTTCTCCAATTCTGTAAGCTGTCGCTTCATTCTGATAATTGTTTCCTTTGATGTACAAAAGTTGTTTTTTTTCAACATCTTGAAGTGTTTTCCATATGCTTGCCTCTATAGCTTCAAAGTTTCAGATCTTACATTAAGGTCTTTGATCCATTTTGAATTGACTTTTGTATCACATGAGAGACAGGGATCTAGTTTTAGTCTTCTACATCTGCATATCTTGTTTTCCCAACACCATTTGATGAAGAGACTCTGTCTTCCCTGATGTATGTTTTGGCTCCTTTTTTTGAGAATCAAATGGCTGTAGCTCTGTGGGTTTGTTTTTGGAGGACAGTGCATTTTTGTGTTCCACTCTGGAAACTATAAAAGTAATTTTATGTGTGTGTGTTTATTTATATATAGTTATGTGGATTTGCATGTGTATTTATACAAATGAAAAACGTTAGTAGCAAATGAGCAAAGTATAAACATTAGTAATCACAGGGATAGCAAGATAATGATTGTGATTGTCACCATGATTGCTTTTGCTTTCTATTTTCTCTTTTTCTATTTAAGTTTCTTTTATAAAAACAAATACATGAAAGTAAAGTAACTGATTCAGTTGAATATGTGTACTTAAAGCAGAAACTAAACTGCTGCCCAGATACCATCCATTGCCCAGACTAGCTTGGCTGCTAAGAGACCATTGAGGCCATTTGAGTAATTTGCCTTAGGTAGCTAAAATAGCAACAGGTGGCTTATCGAAAGTTCTTTTTATAGGAACTCTCTTAATAACATGTTTTCTTATATCTTCCAAGTTTCTTTTTATCCTTTGTTATAGTTTTGAAATCCATTGAGTTATAAATAGTCTTAAGAAGATACAACCTGGGTGCTAGAAGTACTTGTACATGGATATTTGCTTTTGCACACTATTGAAAATGCTGATTGGGAAAAAATAGTTCTGTGCTAAGATATTTTTAGCTCATTAACACCTGAAAAGAGCAGGGCACTGGTGACTTATGCCTGCAATTCTAGCTACTTGGGAGGCTGAGATTGGGAGGATTGGCCTTGGCTACTAGTTCATGAGACCCCTATCTCCAAAATAACCAGAGAAAAATGGACTGGAGGAGTGGCTCAAGTGATACAGCACTTGGTTCACAAGCAGGAAGCCCTGAGTTCAAACCTCAGTCTCACCAAAAAAACCCAAAAAGACCTAAAAAGAGATATAAGAGTTCTCTAATTTCATAGCATGCCAAAAATTGATAGGGGAAAAGCAACAGGTAGGATCCATTCACATAGTTCCAATGGATGCCCTCAATTATTTCATCAAGGAATCTTAATACCTCTACTTCACCAATGATAGAATGAAGTCTCAGAGACCAGAAAAGTTGCCTGGGGTTGCATTATTTGCATTTGGCATAGCCAGAATTGGACCTCTCTCCATTACACTTGAGAGACAAGGCAGACCCGGGGAGAAAAGCACTAGTGTTATACATTAATTTAATATGTATATACTTATAAGTATATATGTATATTGAAATTAAAATCAATAATAGGCCATTGGCTGGGCACAGTGGCTCATGCCTACAATCCCAGGGAGGTAGAAATAAGGAGGATTATGGTTCAAGGACAGTCTTAGCAAAACGTTAACAAACCCCTTATCAACCAACAAGGCAAGTGTGGGGGTGCACTCCTATAATGCAGCTTTATGGGAGGTATTGATCATAGTTGTAGGTTGGCTTCAGGCAAACAGTACATGAATCTATCTATAAAATAAACTAGAGCAGAAAGGGGGGGCCTGTGGCTCCGGTGATAGACTGCTTGGGTAGTAAGTGCAAGATCTTGAGTTCAAACCACAGTACTTCTCCCTCCCTCAAAAATGAGCTAATAATAACTTTCTTCTCCGGTCAACTCTGAACCAATTAACAAATAAGAGTAAGGCAGATGGAAGAAGAAAAGACTGCCTTTATTATTCACAAAGCTGACACAGAAGAAAATGGCTAATATCTTTGGAGAAAATAAACTTAAACCCAAGACTCATCCCAGAATTAAAGGTGGCATCAATAATCAAGTACAGCCAATCTAGGAAACCACAGTCTCCTCTCTGAGAGCAGGCAGAGAACAAATGCAAACCCATGTCCTCTGTGAGTAGCTACCATCCAGTGGGGTGCGGAGGAAGGATGGGGTGAGCCCAGGTTGCCTACATTACTCTTTCTAAACAAGAAAGTCTCTCCTCCTCCCGTGGAGTGGCAGAGGAGAAGGCAGGAGAGACTAGGAATGTTACACCAATAGTTTCCATCACAGGAAAGGAAACTTCAGGAGTGTGGGGTCTGTTAACTGCTGGCATCAAGCTGTGTGTTTCTGCTTTAGATATCACAAATTTTATGGACTAATGAGGAAAAGTAGAGAACATGGCAAACCAGGAGAAGTGGCTCTTTGGCATTGTTTCTCCCCTCCAGCCCATCACTTCTTACCGCTCCCTGTCCAGATGAAGTGTGCATATCTCTGAGACAGAGGAAAGACACTTACTTGTAAAAGAAGGGAACGTTTTTGAAAGTTGAGATTTCCAGGACAGAGAGGCAGTTGAAAAACCCCTAACAGAGATCTTTCAAAGTTGGGAGGATCTGCAGGATAGAGTAGACTGAGATTTTCTCCACAAATGGACCGACAAGCATACTAGGGAACAAAGGAGAGAAAGTGGCTTGTTTATCTAGGAACACCTCCAGTTCTTACAAGCTGTAAGTAGCATGGAAGAGATTCAGAAAGGGAGCTCGCTTGCTGAAGAGATATGTGCAGAAAATGTGACAAACAGCCTTGTGTCACAGGCCCAGGGGATCACATGGTTACCAAAGTGGGTATTTAAGTATTGTTGGCTGTTCCTCAGTTAAAAGTGTAAGGAGAACCAACAAGTTTGAGGGCGCTGCATGGAAGCAAAAATTCCACCTCAATGCAGCCAAGCAGAAGGATGACGAAGCACTGGCATCCATACTATGAGGTGGGCAAGAGTAGGGATCAAGTCACAGTCATGAAAAAATGGCATCGTGCTCCAATGAGAATTTTCCTTCTCTTCTCGCCTATTCTACTCTTTTTTTTTAATTTAAAGAAAAATTTTGTTGATGTCTGAAAAACAATTCCTAGAAGATTGTTCTTCCAGAATACCATAGCTACACAATCAATACAGGTTAAGACGTGCATTAAACACAAATATAAAAACCATGAAACAAGCCATCATTCTTCAATTTGAGCAAAGATAAAATGCCTAAGGAACAACATGGATGACTTGCAAAGGATGGGCTCTTTAGTTTAAGCACTATAAAAAAAGAAAAGAAAAAAAGCACAAATGGATGAGTGTGTGTTCAGTTACATGCGCTGAATTGAACCTTTGGTACTAGGAATCAGCATTTTGTCATATAGCATTAACACGTATTATAAAAGCGCCTAGTGTCAAAGGAATAGAGCCACCAGTGTTAAAAAGCAGTTTTGTCAACTAGGCAATAAAACATTCTACAGCATGTCTTGCTCTGTTGTCCGTCACTAAATACACTGGTAACAACTTTGAAATAAAAAATAAGAAAAAAAAAGGAGCAGTTAATCCCTTTTAATTTCTGTTTAAAATCAAACAAAACAAACATCAATTCTGTTATACACTAACATCTTCAAAGTACATCATCTGCACAAGAGAAGGACTAAGAACAAAACTGTGTTTACAGAGTGACAGCGCTCTCACATGGCTTTCTGATGGTACTCGGATGGAGACACTTTGTAATAGCTGGCACTGAACAAAGTTGCAGAATTGCTTGCCAGGTACTTGAGGAAATCGGGAAGGTAATTCAGTAACAAAGCAAGGTTCTTCTCATCCAATGGTATATAGGCCAACATTGCTCCAATTTATACGAATAATCTCAGTAGATGTGGCTCTCCCTGTACCTGAGACATGGTGCTTGTGGTGATGGGCGGGTGTTTTAGTGTACTGTTGTCTCAAATTTGTAGGGCAGCTGAGCACCCAGCATTACACTAAAGTACTCTTTGACTCGGCCACAACTTCATTAACAGAATACTCCTAATTATTGGTGTTTCCTCAAGATTCTTGTAATTCGAATAATCCTCTAGAATGGAATCCACATTCTTCTTGGCAGGAAGATAAAAGAGCTGTTTTTGTGGGGTAATTAAGTCCCAGTCATCAACAAGCCATGATTTTACCTCTTTAGGAATCTTTAACTTCAACTCTGTTAATAAATGTTTCTTCGTTCTCCTTGGTACTGCCACCATCGCTATTTCCTGGTGTTTTCTGTTTGTTCTTTTCTGTTCTCATTTCAACACTTTTCTTTGCAGGCCAGACGTTTTCTTTCCTGAAGCAGTCCCTCTCATCTTCCCCTCTGCTTATTGTTCTTGATTGGCCTTTTGAAATTCTGGCTGATTCTGCAGATTGGTGTCCACGTATTTCATCACTCTGCTCTCCCAATTTTTATTTCAACCACTCCTGGAATTGAGGCTTCAGGTCCTGCTTGGGTGCCACTTATAAGTGATTCGCTGCCTCCTCCTCCCACCACCCTGACCTCCGCCCCCTACTCTCTACTCCACCCATCTGCTCCTCAGAGGCATCAGGTGCAGCCAGATCTACAGCTACATTTTGCCTATTCTACTCTTGAGAATTTAGGGTTGAGGACACATAGAAAGAAAGTCTAAGACAGGCTTTGAACTGAACTGAATATGAGAACACAATCTTGATGTTACATAAAAGGTCACTGAATTGGATTAAGACACTTCAAAAAAGTCCTACTAGTTATTCTGTTAAGGAAAATCATGTAGGGTGGGGGAGGGAGGCAGGGGGGAGAAATGACCCAAACAATGTGCACACATGTGAATAAATGAATAATAATAAAAAGTGATACCTGTTGAAACTATTCCAGGAATTGATGGGGGAGGGGGATAAAGGAGATCAATGAAGGGGTGAATTCAAGTATGATATATTTGATACATTGTAAGAACCTTTGTAAATGCCACAATGTACCCCCACCAAGCACAACAATAAAAGAAAAAAATAAATATATTAAAAAAAAAAAGAAAAATCATTTTAAGTGAATTAAGCCAGGCTCAAAAGGACCAAGGTCACTTGTTTTCCCTCATATACTCAAGCTAGACCTAAAAGACAAATGTATACATAAATACATATATGATCATATCTATGCAGATATATATGTATATATATACATATATATAGAGAGAGAGACTATGATTCTAATAGTGGTCTGCCTCAGGAAACTATGTGGAGGTGAGAGAGGAAAAGAGAATGATAGTGAGTGAATAATATTGAAACAATGCATCTGTGTATGAAGACGGTGTGATGTAATGTACTGAAAGCTATTGAATAATAGGGGAGTAAGGTGATAGGGTAAGTTACAGAGGGGTTAATTTGACTAAGATATCATGTATACATGTGTGAAATACTAAGATGAAACCCCCTTGAACAAACAATATACACCTTAAAAAATGAAGGACAGAGAGGTAAAACAGGTCTTGCTAGGGGAGGATACAAGTGTGGGGGGAGTAAACAGAGAGAGTGAATTGATGGTAATTTGTGTACATGGAAAAAATTGAACAATGAAACCTGTTAAAATTGTTCTAAAAGGGCGGGAGGGAAAGGGGATTGGGGAGAATGATGGACAAATTGCAAACCCATATGTAAATGTCACAATGAAACCAAATGTCACAATGAAACCCCCTGTACAACTAATATATGCTAATAAAAAATTTAAAAAGAAATTGGGACTCAGGAGCTAAGGTAAGAAAAAACATATATAGAATCATGAATTACTATCACTTTAAACATATATGTTAGTGAATTATTTTAACGGTTAATCAGTGTAACTGTATTTATAAATTCTTTTGCCTTGTGTTGTACTTTTCTTCTAATCACTTCATCTGGCTGCTGGGGGCCATTTGAGTAGAAAAGTGATAATCTATTAAATGTACAAATTTTACAGACCTGAATCTAAAATAGCCCGGTGAAGGCAACTCCAAGTATTTCCACAAGAGAATAATCTTTCTCAGTGATTCTCTGGATCTTAACCAAGAATGAGATAAATCCAAACACATAGCTCTTGACAGCAGTAGCTGAGAAATGGTTGTTTGAAAGATGTAATCTCTATGACAACCTTACACTTACAGAGAGGACTTTTCTATTACATCAATGGTACAAATGTATACCCTTGTCAGATGATATTATGGCTTTTCATGCTAATTTTTTGTTTTTAATTTGTGCAAATAATGATGTAAAAAGCTGAAACTAAAACAACCAGTCCTACCTATACCAGGCCTCTGCTGCATCAGTACCTTTTGGCTATGGTCTGTATAAGGTTAATTAGAAGGTGCTTATGAAAACTCAGCAAAACTCAGTTATTGAGATGGTCATGTATGACTCATGAATCATAGCATCAGAGAGCAGGAGCACTCTTACAGATTTTTCTAGTCTCTGCATCACCTCCTAGTTTTATAGATGATGAACCCAATATTAGGAAAAATATTATTACTTTGCTAAGATGTCAACTCACAGGTGGTATAACAGAAAGGAGAATGTAAGTCTTGCAAAGCTATTCTTGGACTTGCCAGCAATATATTTCTATTTTGATTTGATTCCACTGTAAACATAATCCTCTGTGAAGATGTATTATAAATACAGAAGCTTTGCTTCTGAGACTGGAGGACTTGGAAACAAAGCTGGATGCTCCACTCATTAGCCATGTAAATGGACAAGTAGCTTAACTTTTACAGCCTAATTTGTGTAATGGCAAAAAATGAATGGTATCTGCCCTTTAGAGTTGTTGTTAAGGTACAATGATTTGTCCATTTAAAGCCCTTAAAACTATGCAGTACGACTCAATAATGCTATCTATTCATATATATAAGAACATGTACTTGTGAAAGCATCATCTCATGAAACAACCCCAGGAAGACATTGAGGAACCAGCATGTTTGTGTTTGTATTTCTAATTTGTGTGGATAAAGATGTAATATTTATTGGAAATGGGCAGAGATGTAATATTACTGGGAAAAACTAACCCAGCTCACTAACTTTGGATCTCACTCCTTGCTCTCTTGGCAATTTTTTCTTTCCTATTTTTTTTAAGCTTTAAAGAATAAGAGAAACATTAAAAGCAGCAAATAGAAGTTTTCTAGCTCCTTTACTAGACACTATGAAAATATAGAAAGAGTGACCTAGATTCAAGCATCCCATAGAGGTCTCAGAATTCCAGATGCAAATCCTTTTTCCTTGATTATCCCTGTTCCTACCCTGAGTCACTCAGCTGGGGAATTCCTATTTGCAAACCCCAATGTATTATCATGGGATGAATCCTGGGAACCCAGACATAGCATGCAGCATCTGGGAATCGTGGAAAACTCTTCAGTTAGCTTCCCCAGTTATCTGGAAATGAGAAACATCTGTTACCATCTTTTCAGTGATAGGGTATTTGACGGGTTTATTTTTCTGCTCTGCTTTGGATATGCTTAACTCAGCAAAATATTTTCCATAATGAAGTCATCACAAATAAGGTATGATAAACTCCTGAACTTGAGGTGTTATCAATCATAAAAGTACTAAACAACAACTGAACTATAATCATCTCCCATGATTGAAAATTCTGGTGATTATATTCTGCTCTCTGAAGAATAACACCCAAGAAACAAGCTATCTGTGTTAGTGGTTTAAACTCGACTGGAAGAAATAAAAAATGCAGTGAAACAGGTGCAGGGATGTTAGAGTCACTGAAGCATTGATGTAACTGTCTCAAGCCCTATAAAATAGTAGCATTTGGCAGGTCTATATATGAAATGAGGTTAAGTTTGCCAGAAAAGTAAAGTAATACTACTGGTAAGTTAGAAAATCATATCCTATCAGAATTTCCCTGCATTCCATCCAAAATTTCTACAAACACTTGGTAATAGGCTGATTCATCACATATAAATTCCATTCTAAAAAAAATTTAAAAAGAAACTATAACTTTCCCACTATTTCTCTGTAGAAAAGCAAAGGGAAATAGTGAGGATACCTTTGCCAATTTCTTGCTCACAAATGAATATGCCATTTTGGCTTAGAGATATTACTTCTCCTCATACCCCCTCCTCAATTATGCTAGTAGTGTGGAAATAAAGGAAGTACCTAAAATGATTTAAACCTAATTACAAGATATTCTTTCTTGTGAATGAAATGGTTTTGGTTAAATTATGCAAATATATGTAGAAGAGTTTACCTGGTTACAAAATGACATTCATCTGAATTTCAAACTCAAGTACCATCTTACCCATTGAAGCAGTTAACTGACTTGCAATAAGTTTATGGCTGCAACTCAGATGGATGGCTTTAATCAGGCCTTAAATTACGTGGATTCATAGATCATAAAATCTAGAATATTTTTTCCTTATGGGTGTGGGGAGAGAACAGGCTGGGAAACAAGCTCTTGGATGAAGCACTGGGAAGATTTTTCTTTAACCATTAAAGATCTGTTTATACTCTGCAATGACCTGCTTGGACTGCACTTTAGCTAAATAAAATGATGACTGGTCTTTGTTTAGAGCTGAGAGATTCCTGTGGCTGTGGCGTCTGGGGACTAACCTTCAACTCCCAGAGATCATTTTAGCTCTCGCTTTACTTTCCCTTACCCATACAACTTTGTAATGACTTCACTTCCATTTCAACAAAATCAGCAATGAATGCTCTAGAAATATTGTTTGGGAGTGTGAATTGTTATATGAGAAAACTGTAATGCAGGAAGTTATTTGCTTATCTAGTGACCAAATAAATAAATAAGTAAAATAAGTGCATTAAACATGTTAAGGACAAATTGGTTCACACTAGTGCCCAGAGAAAATCAATCTGCAACAACATGAAACATCTCACTTTAAGTTAAGAAGATGGAGAAGATGGGAGAGGTTATACCCTGGGAGCAACAACATAAGTTGCCAACTATTGGTTCCTATAAAACAACTTACTCCACCGGGTAGATTACAAATTCCAGTAAGCAACTACCAGGGAGCAGCTACACAAACCCTCTTCTGCACGTGGTCCTACCATGATGTCATTTGCCATAATGAGATGGAGCCAGGGACCCTCGTCACAACCAGTGCTGTTTGTACTTTTAACCTCCAGAACTGTGAGCTAAGTAAGCCCAACTAGAGACATTTCATTATAGTGACATAAAGCAGATAGATACAGCCCCAACATGTTCACATGCCTGTGGAACTGACACAAAGCTACTTGTCTATGATTGGTCACAACTAGTGAGGGATGAGGGTTGCTGGGGGTAGAAGGTGATAGAGAGAAGACAATGGCTCCATCTTTGTTACAGAGCAGAGCTCTTTGAGAGGTTACTTGTCCTTCTGACATTTTATTCCCTCCACTTTTATTCTCCTGATAGAGTTAGGAAAAAGAGTTAAAATAAACACCTTATGTGTCA